AAATTATGCAAAGATCTGCTGAATGAGGGGGTCCTTTCCCTCTTCCCTTACAATAAGACATTCTAAGATCTTTTATCATAATATGGGACATTAGAAATCTAGGCAGGTACAACATGGTAACCTCTCCCCAGGAAAGAGTGTGAATCACAACTTGCTTCCTACTGTCTGGTGTCTTAGCATAGAAGACAGACTGATTTTTCTCTTTCCCACAGACAATATTCTGTTCCCAAAGGGAAAAGGCTTTTCTTAGGATTTTGAAGAATACTCACAAATACTGTATGAAATGAAAACTTTTGAGACAAGTATTTTTAGATGAGTGACACAAACATGCAGAAGTTAGAGTTCTATATTTTCCTAGTACTGTGTCTATCCCACAATAAAACGCACATTAGGATGCTTGTGTAATATTTATGTCCCTTTAAATTTAAGACATACAACATATATTACAAATAGGGTGATTATATAATTTATCATTCAACTATTAAAAAAAACCCTCAAGATGCTTAACTAAAATTTATACTTAATAAAAAGGCAAATTAAAAAAATTTAATTAGTATAGCAGATAAGAGCTATTATTAAATACATTTGCATTTTTTTTCCTTTGGACTTTTTCTTTGGTTTTCTTGGTGGCTAAATGGAATGGGATTTTATGAGATGGAATAGAACAAAAAAATTATAACATAAGATTCTCTTCTTTCTTGACTTGAATTTCATTGATTTAAGGGTTTACATATTTCTTGAGGTTACTGCAATACTAATTTCTACTTTTATCTAAATGAATGACAGACTCTTATATTTGATTAACATGAGAGTTATAATTCTCATAACATCTGACTAAAATTTAATAGCAGAGAGCTATGAGAATTTATTACTAAAATTAAAGTCCTGTTAAGTAACACTAATCCTTAAGAGCATTATTTATAAATTAGAGGCCTGGTGCATGAATTCATGCACATGTGGGGTCCGCGCCCCCCCCCCCCCGCCCCAATGTGGGCCTATTGGGCCGGGCCGGCTAGGGGGAGTGGCTGTGGGAGGTTGGCCGGCCAGCCAGGGGTGCGCATCATAGCGACCAGTCGATCCGGCGTTCCGGTCGCTTGGCTTTTATATATATAGACATAAAATACACTTGTTAATATACCCATTTATGGTACTAAAAGTGTAGTTCAACTGCTATTTGCTAAAATACAATACAGTAAAATTTCACTGAGTAACAAAAAAAAACTTACTGAAAAGGTCTTTGATAAATAAATGGAAGACTATTCAACACTTTATATTTTAAAAAAATTCTTAATTGTTGATGAAATAGATTTACACTTGTTTTATAATCACTTCCTCTTCTCAAAGCAAGACGTGTGTGCATGCATATGCACATGTGTATGGACTGAAAAATCAACTCCAGGTTTCAAGTGCAGTTCAGAGTAAGAAAATTAAAGAAGCTGAGTGTTGTTGAGTCCTATGTTTCTATACCTGGAGTTTCACCATTCCTTTCTATTTCAACCCATTTCAACCCAACAAATCTTTTGGGGTTTTTAATATTTGTAACACATTATGCTACTTGCAGAGAATATAAAAAAGAGGGAGGAAGAGTGAGAAGAAAAATGAAATTCACAGTCCCTGTTTTTATGAAGTTCATAATCTTTTAGAAGATGCATGTAAACAGTAGAAAACAGACATTTATATAAACCATTAAAGAAGAATAAATAAGCATGTGGAATGTAGAAAAGGAGGGTGGCAGACCCTAACTGGAGTGGGGAGTAGAAGCTATGAGAAGGTTTCCCTAAGTGACAACTGGGTTGGTTTTAAAGGCTCAGAAGGATCCTGGCAGAAGGTAGATAAGGCGTCCTATGTGGAATATGCAGCATGTAACAAAGGCGTAAGATGTAAAAGTGCCTAGCACATCTGGGGTTAACAACTTCTAGTGTGATACAGCCATCTGATTTCTAGGTAAAGGAGATTATTTGAAAATGAAGTCAGAAAGTGAGACTAGAGCCAGATTATCAAAAACTTGAATGTTGTTAAGAAGTAGTCAGGGCATCCCTGAAAAACTTTGAGCATATTTGTGATATATCTAGGTACAGCATAGCTCAAGTACTGAATTGCCAATTCTGTCCTGCACTAGAGCAAGGATGGCAATAAATATAAGTTATATGGTACATACATTAGAAAGTGTTATGTGCTATGAAGAAAATACAAGTATAGAAGGAAGTAGCACGGTCAGGATGGGCCTTATTAAAGTAGAATCTGAAAAGAGACTTGAAAGAGGTGAGGAGTTGAGCCATGCAGTTAATCTGGAGAAAATACGTTGCAAGCAGAAAAGCACATCCAAAACAAAGGCCCTAATACAGAAGTGTGCCTAGAGTACTATGGACTATTAGGAGATGAATGTGGAAAGAAGGGGGAGGAATGGCAGGGTGATCATGTAGGACCCTGCAGACAACAGCAAGGGCTTTAATTTTATTCTGAATAATATAGCAAGCATTGCAAGTCACATGTGAGCAGAGGAATGGCATGACTTGACAGATTTTAAAAGAACTGCTCTGACTACTGTGCTGACAACAGACTACAGTGGGGCAAAGGTGGAAGCAGGAACTCGGCTACGAGGCTATTGCAGTGATCCAGGTGAGAAATGACAGATCATGTGGGTGATGAGAAACAGTCAGACTGCAGATGTGTAATATTTTAAAGGTAGTGTTAATCAGATTTTTCTGACACATTGGATATGGGGTGTGAGAGAGGAGACAGGAATGTGATCAAGGTTCTGGACTGACAAAATGGGAGGGCAAAGTTAACTCAAATGAGAAAGACTGCTGGTGGAGCAGGTTTTGGGGGAAAGATGGGAAGTTCAATTTTTGACATATTCGAAATATCTATTGGACATTGAACCAGGCTTTGGGGAGTATAAGTTTGGAGGAGTTCAAAGAAAAGTTCTGGGCTGGAGCTTCTGTTTGTTCTGCCTACAACAAATCCTGCATTCCAGGCTTGCAGAACTATAAGCAAGTCTCTACTGTGTTCCCCAAGTCTTTGTGCCTTCATATCTCTGTTTAGAGTGTTCTTACTCCTGTCTTTTCCCACTTGGTAAAAAATTCTCCCTCTTCAAAACTTATGGTAGGCATCTGTTTTATGAAACTCAGATGATTACCATCTCCTGAAGCACCCTATTTCCTTAAGCCACTTAAGTAACTGAAATATGCAATGGCTGGTGTTTTAAGACACTCTAAAGGCTAAACAATTTTAATTTCTTTTTTGTTAAGAAAAAAAGCAGCCATTTCATAAGCACCAGTGACTTGCCTGCTCATTATCAGAAATCTTTAGAAACCTTTAAAGAAAATCAAGACCACAGGAAAAATCTTGGCAAGCAGCTGAGTAACCAGATTTTGCATTTTCCAATTTCAGTAGTTATTTGAAGACAAATCTTCAAAAAGACTTTACAGGCTAAAAACAAAGAGAGAAACATCTTCTGCAAAAGTTCCAAAGTTATTTTCTGTTATAAAATTTTTTTTCATTTTGATTGTCATACTTTTATTTGCTGTGGGGAGGCATTTAAATTAGAGGAATTATTGGACAAGAAAACCAGTCTCTTTTTTTTCATTCCCAAGAGATAAACTCTAATCTAATCGAGAAGAGGGGAAAAATTAAAAAGATGATGTGTAATTTAGAGATGATCCAACTCAACCAGCCTCTTTTATAAATGAGAATACTGAAATCCGAGAGGCTGCCACTACCACATGAACAGGTATTCTCAACTACCAGCTCTGTGTAGTTACAGTCTACTAAAATGAAGCTCCATAGGGCAGAATTTTGTCTGTTTTGTTTCACATAGTAAGTACTGAAACAAATAAATTTATGATTCTAAACTATATGGGGTTGAAATACATTCAATATAAACTATAAAAGTACAATACAATTCTTCAGGGTTTAAAAATTGCTGCCTCTGAAAGTCAAAAAATTTAAAGTATCAAGAATTTGTAATCATTATCTTTAAATATTAATTACAGCCCTAACCGGTTTGGCTCAGTGGATAGAGCGTCAGCCTGCAGACTCAAGGGTCCCAGGTTCGATTCCGGTCAAGGGCATGTACCTTGGTTGCGGGCACATCCCCAGTGGGAGTGTGCAGGAGGCAGCTGATCAATGTTTCTCTCTCATTGATGTTTCTAACTCTCTATCCCTCTCCCTTCCTCTCTGTTAAATAAATAAATAAATAAATAAATAAATAAATATTAATTACAAAATGTTAGCCACATACAAAAGTGGGAAAGTGAGGACCCTGAAACAAAAGCTCTAACAAAGTAGTAAGTTTATAAAATGTTCTCTGAAGATTAAAGGATGGTATTCTACTAATATACTTGCTTTATACAGTATAGTATTTTAGATATTATGGGAAGATTATAACCTTTGAAAATAAAATAGCACAAAGATATCATTACACAGCTTTGGAAAATCAAGATTTATATGGACAACTAAAAAAAGAAGTTTTAAAATGTTTGATTCCATGTTATAATACACAGTATCTTAAAATACCACAAATAAACAGCCCATGTTCTGAAAGTTCCCTTACCAAAGAAACTCTTACTTGGGGTTTTTAAAAACTGAAGTATAAATGACATATAACATTATATTTTTAGGTGTAGTTTTAGTTGTTCAACATAATGACTTGATAATCATATACGTTTCAAAATGATCACCACAATAAGTGTAGTTAACATTAGTTACCATACATGGTTACAAAACATTTTTTCTTATGATGAGAATTTTTAAGATCTACTCTCATAGCAACTTTCAAATATGCAATAAAATATTAAATGTAGTCACCCTGCTGTAAACTACATTCCTATGACTTATTTTATAACTGGAAGTTTGTTCTTACTTGGTTTTAAAAGCAAACAGCTTTTGAAAACCCTTTCAATTATAATGATAGTTGCAGTCAATAGGCAATCTAACATATGCATTTCAATCCCCAAAAGGAAATATCAGGTACTATTTTAAAGTTAAAAAACACCAACCTCTTTAATCTCATGTAGTTTTCACTTGCAGCAGGTCGGCATTCAGCTCTTTGTACCACTATTCCTTCCAATGAAAGCTTATCTTGAATGGAAAGAAAAAAATAACAAATGTATTCAGAGTTAACATTTATCATATTCAAGATTGTATTCTGACACATTACCCACAGTAATAATAAAATAAATAATAAAAATCAAAGAAACAAAAGGAATATATTTTAAAATTACAGTTTACATTCAATATTATTCTGTAATAGTGTCAGGTATAAAGTATAGTGGTTAGACATTTATATAATTCATGAAGTGATACCCCTGATAAGTGTAGTACCCACCTGGCCTCATACATAGTTATTAGTGTAGATTATTGACTATATTCCCTATGCTGTAATTTACATTTCTGTGACTATTCTGTAACTACCATTTTGTATTTCTTTCTTTTAAAAAAGGCCAGTCCATTGGATCTTATATTTCTTTTTTTAAAATAAATTTTTATTGATTTCAGAGAGAAAGGGAGAGGGAGAGAGAGACAGAAACATCAATGATGAAAGAGAATCATGGATCGGCTGCCTCCTGCACGCCCCCTACTGGGGATCGAGCCAGCAACCTGGGCATGTGCCCTTGGCCGGAATCGAACCTGGGACCCTTCAGTCCGCAGGCCGATGCTCTATCCACTGAGCCAAACCGGCTAGAAACAATTTGCATTTCTTAATCTCTTCACCTGTTTTACCATCCTCCCCACCCCATTTTCCTCTGTCAACTGTCAGTCTGTTCTCTGTATCTATGAGTCTATCTTGTTTGTTTATTTTTTTCAAAAGGAATTAAAGTTTATAGTAGAGTCATTGGTCAGAATAGAGAAAAACTTTATTCTTGGCTAGTAAAAAAACAGGCTCCTGTCAGGTTTATTTATTGGGCTGCTGCAACTCCTTGCCAATAAAATAGCTTTTATGCACTTAGCTCTTTCTCAAGAGAGTAGCTTAAAAGGACATAAAATTTTAAAAATTGAATATATACAGGCATGTGTACACATCCATATATATGTAAATAAAATCCTAGAAGACATAATGACTTGAACAGCCAGCCTAAAAAATATTGTGAAACTGGGCAGGTCCGTTGTCTAGGTTATTCTCTGTACCAGTTCTGCCTGCCAGTTGCTCTGACTTCTCTTTCCAGCAGAATCATTAATTTGGGTGTGTCCAAACTAGACGTTGAAGTGCTATGAATAATTGTCCAAATAGAAGGACAATTTTTCCTACCATTAAAAAGATTTTTCTTGGTGACCCTCATACAAAATTCAAGAGAAACGGAAGAAGGAAACAAAAGTTAGCACTACACTGTGCCTACTAGGCACAAAGCATTATGGCAAATTCACTTAAAATACTGTATCTTATTTGATAATACATATGACTATCCCATGGAGTATCAGCTTTGCTACAGTCTGGAAATGTATGACTATAGTTAGGAAAAGCTATGGCTCAGTCATATTTCTGTGAGAATTAACCCAGGTTTTGAGAAGAGAATCAGGAAATCCTTTGGCTCATCAGCCATGCATTTATGATTCAGCTCTTCAGGGTGAATGACTTTATGCATTACTCTAACATTAACTAAATGCCTACTATGTGAGGGCACCGTCTAGGCATTGTGGAATCAAAGATGATTAAGACACAGTACTATCTTCAGGAAGCATGCAGTTCCCTGGGGGAGAGAGATAAACTGACCAAATTGTAAAGTGCAGACAGAACCGCACTTACAAGATTTATACTAGAAAAACTCTCATAGGGTGATGACCTTTCTTAATTTTGTCTTCAAAATCCAGGGGACTCCTTGTTGTAGCCCATATGCAATAATTGTGAACACACTATGTAATTCAATGGTTCAAGAATCCGTCAATGCAACATAGGCAACAAATCTCAAGAACAACCTGTCAGATGACAAAAAGAGCAATGATGAGAAATGCCTACCTTACATCAAAGTATGCCAGAAAGGAAATAATAATAAGCCCCTAAATATTTTATTATTTTATATTAAATTTAAAACATCTAAAAATAATTTCCTATCATTAATGGATTTAATAAGATTAGAATTTCAATTTTCTTAAAACAAAAACAAATCTTATATTGGAGTTTGTTTCTCACTGAAGCTGAAAGTTCTATCTAGAAAACCAACATATCAATAACAAGATTTGGGAAAATTTCAATGTATAAAGTATCATAAATGTACTAGAAAAGCACACTATTAAAACATATTAATCCATTTTTTTGTTACTCCTCACCCAAGAATATTTTTTTCCATTGATTCTTAGAGAGAGTGGAAGGGAGGGAGGGGAAGAGGAACATCAATGTGAGAGAGACACACTACCCGACAGGGGCTAAGATAGAACCTACAACTCAGGTAGGTACATGCCCTTGACAGGGAATTGAACCAGAGACCCTTTGGTGTATGGGTCAACACTCTAACCACTGAGCACACCAACCAGGGCAGTAATACTTTTAAAAAACAAAATACATCTAGAATACTGTTCCTGAAAAAAAATTATTTATATAAATCCATGTGTTTATTAATGTTGAATCACACAAGAGGTACCTAATACCACCTGTGAATGCTCCTCACTTATTTAGTAGCACCTACTACTGCACGTGAACAGGCTAATTTAATTTCTAGTTTCAATATTCTCCATATAACACTGGGAAGGGTAAGAAGTGTCCAAAGCACCTGGCTCATTTCAACATGGCCACCACTCTCATCACTAAACTTTAATCAGGGTCACTCACACAAAGCAATAAAATTCACTTTCCAAAACCATAATTTTATGACCATTATATTCCATTTTCAAACAAAAAAATAACTTTTCTTTAAATCTAAAATAGCTTTTAAATGCTTCTTAAGGGAAAAGAGAAGTCTTTGCACCGATTAATTGGCTGCTCTTAAATAACATTACATCTCTGTTCACTGTTATCCTTTCTCCCTTCTCCTCTTAAATAAAATTTAAAAAGCCAATTTATTTATGATACAGTTCGCTAAGCAAAATGTAAATCCTTCATATACCTTAAAGCTTCACGGGAACATGTTTTCATATTCTTTCCACTAAACCATGCTTCTTTCCTTCCTCAAGACATTGCTTAAGATTTTAGGGGAAAGGTATTAAATATTATAATTAATTACTTAAAGCATTTGAATACCACTGCTGTTAATTATAGATCATATTTATTAAATATAGGAACCCTTTTTGAGACTACTTTGTTGGCCCATTTTGAAAGACCATAAATACTTGAAAAATAATCCATTATTTTGCTCAGACATGTATCAGATATTTACTGAAGGCCTTTCAAGTAAAAGGTAATGCAAAAACATACCAAGAATAGCAAAGATAAATGAAACATGGCTCCTGCCCTCAAGGAGTGGAGTCTAGTACCGCTAATCACAAATGGTCTGTGAAACATATTCTTAAAAAGTATTAAGGACCAAGAGTTTTTTGTTTTTTTAAAATATATTTTATTGATTTTTTCACAGAGAAGAAGGGAGAGGGATAGAGAGCCAGAAACATCGATGAGAGAGATCCATCAGTCGCCTCCTGCACGCCCCCCAGTGGGGATGTGCCCGCAACCAAGGTACATGCCCTCGACCGGAATCGAACCCGGGACCCCTGAGTCCGCAGGCCAATGCTCTATCCACTGAGCCAAACCGGTTCGGCTGGACCAAGAGTTTTCATTTATGTGGGTTTTACCCACCAATATTTACCATATTAGACACTAAAACTGAAAAATGTTTAGAAAATCAGGGTGAAAAAGACAAAAAAGCCGTGGCATTATTATGAAAGTTTTGATTTCACAGACCCCTTGAAAGGTTTTCAGGGACTCCTGTTCCCAGCAGTTTCCAGATCATATAGTCAGAGCTGCTGGTCTAGTAGGATAAGATAGGTATACAAATCATTGTAATACCCTAGAAGTACTTTTGAAAAACCTCCACTTAACACACTTCCAGATTACCAAGACTCTCAACTCCCCTCTTTTAAATATGACAGGTGCCCACAGTTTACTCTGCATCAGTGGGTGGCAGGTTAATCTCCAGCACACACACACACACTTCTGCTCCAACTATGCTAGAATCCGCTTATGCTAGCTTTGCTCTGTTAGTAATTATGCAATCTGATTATATACTACACTAGAGACCCAGTGCACGAAATTCGTGCCTGGGTGTGGAGGGGTCCCTCAGCCCGGCCTGCACCCTCTCCAATCCAGGCCCCCTTGGGGGATGCCGACTGCCTCTTGCAATCCAGGACTGCTGGCTCCTAACCGTTCACCTGCCTGCCTGCCTGATTGCCCCTAACCATCTCTGCCTGCCTGCCTGATTGCCCCTAACCATCTCTGCCTGCCTGCCTGATTGCCCCTAACTGCTCCCCTGCTGGCCTGATTGCCCCTAACCGCCTCTGCCTCACCCTGCACCCAGGACCCGGGATGGCTGCAGCTGCAGGAGACCGTGGGCAGGCGGCTTTGCCCGGGGCCCCAGTCACAGGTGCCCAGGACTGTGGGGTGGGCAGCTTGTCCCTCTTCCGGGCCGCAGCTGCAGCCGTTGGCGCCCGGGACTGCAGGGAATGCGGCTTGTCCCTCTCCCGGGCCACAGGCACAAACACAGCCGCTGGCGCCCGGGACCGCAGAGTGGGCGGCTTGTCCCTCTGCCAGGCCGCAGATGCAGCCTCTGGTGCCCGGGACTGCAGGGCGGGTGGCTTGTCCCTCTCCCAGGCCACAGCCCCAGCCGCTGGCACCCAGGACCACGGGGCAGGCGACTTGTCCCTCTCCCAGGCTGCAGCCTGGCTGGTCCCCATTCCTCTCTCACAAGCTCATTTGTACCTGGCTGGTCCCCAATTCTCTCTCCCCAGTGTTGAGTGTCTGAGCCTTTACAGTGTGACGGCATGAGGCCGTGATGACCATTTGCATATTAGCTCTTTATTATATAGGATAACCCCATTAATTATGTGTATGAGGAAGGGAGTTGCTTCTAAGAAACATAGAAGTCTAGAAGGATTCTGCATTCAATTTGTTTCCCAGTGTCTAAGTTCTTGTTCCTTTTTAAAGAAACCAAAACTGAAAA